GGACCTGTGCCACGTTTTCTAGCGGCTAATAGATGAACCTAAGGTTACTTTAAATATGTGATGACTTCGAATTATGTAGAAGTGGAAATAACAAACCTTTTTGCCGCCTTCTCTTTCTGCTTGTAAAGAATATGTTGGGAATAGTCTTTTTCCGATGCCACCATCATGTTTATCACGTGTAAGTCGACATTGAATGAAGCCGGTACTATCTTTTGGAATAGGGTGAAATACAAACCGAAGCAAATTCTCTTGCATCATATCGAATGCTTGTATGAAGGTTGAACTCCCCTATAGATGCAATAATAACATAATGTCTCTAAATCGTCTCCATTCACGCAGATCAAACGGATTTTCCTCGACAGTTATGCAACTTACCATATGAGGCTCTACACTGCTTGACTCTGTTCTGTTGCGAACATTTGGATGTATACTGTGTTGATTTATAGCCTCGGAAGGTCGCCGATGGCGATCAACGTCGGCCAGTTCGTGAGGTGTTCCCTTTTGTTCTGTTGATGATGATGACGTCTGAACAGATGTCTCGCCTTCACAATAAGTAAATTTTAAGAACAAGCACTATCATTGGTCAGACTGAGTTATGCGAAGATGTGTAGAACGAGAAAATATGATCACCTTCATCATCGTCGAATGCAATTCTTGGTCGCTGCCGTTGAATTGGTGGCAATTCTTCAGCATCTGAAGAAAAAACATTCGATGTAGATCGACGTTGAAAAATGATATTCTATCGCGTGAAAAGATGCATATACATACTTCACGTACTTACTGTTATCGTTCATCTGTCGACTGCTTGCTCGTTGAACCTAAAAGCATTAAACATCTGTATAAAAGGGCCAAATCAGTTCCAAAACACTCTTCATCTGACCGGTGTTTCTGTTCGAGTCACATTTTCTTCGGATATCCTTTGAATAATATAAATCATGCATATGGTCAAAGTCAGACAAGCATCGTTTAGACGAAAATACCTACACTCCAGGCAACTGAGAACGATAGTCTTCAGTCATTTATTTATGAAAAATCAAACAAAAAACGATCTTTGTCTTCAAACAGTTTCAATCAATAATCTGAAATAAAAGCTTTAATATTGAATAATATGATACTATGTTCATACATGAAACATTCGCTAAAGGATACGAATACAATATAGTATGTGCACAAACTGAGAGGGGCAAGAATATCCATTATGGTTTACATCATCTCAACTACAACAGAAAGATGAGAGTAACTGGTTTTCTTCACTGTCTCAGCCGGCATAGAATATCCTGTAATCTATATAGCGCACTCCTGAACTGGAGATCGATCTCAACAGAGAAAAAAATACCACCTGACATGTGAGAAGATATAGTTGTGTTTTTCAGTCATCTTCAGAGCTCACAACAACTCTCTCACAAAGTGTACACATTCATGAGTTATATAGTAACAATCATGTCTGTCCTACTATCAGTCTTTGCTGCTGAACGTATCTTGTTAAATCAATAAACTTTCCAACAAAACTTTTACTTCATTCATTTTCACTTAATTTGTGCACACGTGTGCAATGTGTAACGTGTAGATAAGTGGCAACGGCACTCAAACACTATGTTCAGACAGAAAGTGACTGACATTGTGAGACAAAATACATTTGTGCCATTTGTTCTACTGCACTCTTGCTTGTTTCTGCTAGAATGGACTAAGCATGGTGCTCACATCAAATGCTGACTACTCGCAATCAAGAGTTAGGCGAAAAAGGCCTTCGACATTGATCATAATCTCTATCTCTAAATTCTTGGAAATTTTGTTTCCACCGAAGATCCCTCTCACATTCTCAGATACTGATTCCATATAAGGTGCTGTTAAGACTTGACTTCAGTCCACTGTTCTAAAAATCAATAGTCACTCACAGCCCATATAATAGTACCAGTTTCATACAATAGCATCCTCCCTATGTGCGAATGATCGTTCAAACATCGATGCACCCAAGTCAATTTTCTAGATACTTACAAATATGCTCTCATTCTCACAATATGAATCACTTAAATTTCAGGCAGAAGTGTATGTGAATCAAGCCCTCATGTGCTTGTATTTATGAAATAACTTTACAATTCATATAAAAAGAATAGATGCTGAAGGTCATATAAAAGAACAATGCAACTATTTCTGCATGAAAAAAGTCGTCTCTTATATTTCTACAAAAGTAAATAGAAACACATTAACAAAAGCTTTATTGCTTTTATACGGAATGCAGCAAAAAAACACTCAAGGACTGAATGTAAGGACAGGATACAATTTTCGGCTTGAAATACCTAGAGAGACCTTTCGCAAAAATTATTCTCATCAACAATGTATATTCTGATTAAGCCTAACAACAGAGAGGTTACTATAATCAGAAAACACTTGAAATTTGTAAGCAGAAATAGTCTTCAAGACTATTTCTGCTTACGAATTTCAAGTGTCCTTTGAGTCAAAGGAAGACCAAACAAATTTCGAAAGTCTACCCAAACATAAAAGAAGAATCTGTTATTGCCCGATTTATCTAGATTACTAGATTTTTATTGCATTGCAAGTATTTAGTAACGACAGTGGAAATCTAGTAATCGGGCGATTGCTAGGTTTCTCCTCAATGCAACTATCGATTTATCACCTGATAATCGATTGATTTAACTCTTGCTGATTCTAGATGCAGACACATCTAGTTAAAAGTCCCTTTTCCAACTAGTAGTCTAGATAATAGCTAGTCTTACATCGCTCGATTACAGACAAAATGTAACTAGATTTTTACCATAGCTGATTCTTTTCCACCACGATTGCCATCTAGCCCAATATTTAATTTAAATTTTGCCAAAGATGCCCATTGCCTTGAGTATAAAGGGAAGAGTCTTATTGAGTTAAAAGAGTTCTATGTATGTCCGCAGCGGCACAGAGCGACAAATAAAAGGTCTCTGTGTTTGTAGTTTCGTGGCATACAGCTGGCCATGAAATTTTCACAGCAAAGTTATTCCACTATGAGGAATCAGAAAATGATTCATGTTTGTTTGGCTTGTGTTTTGAAAAATAATTATGGTTAGAATTGTTGACTGTTTTCTAATCATAGAAACCTCTTTGTTGTTAGACGTAATCAGAATGCACTGTTGATGAGAAGAACTTTGTGAAAGATGCCTGTAGGTATTACGGGCTGAAATTGCATTTTTCTTAATCAAGACTGAACCAGAATTCAAACATAGTAAATTCGCTTTATCGAAGGATTCTATTTATTTTATACATAAGATGCTTTACAGGCATGAAAAGCACTCTTCCTTTTATCCATTAACTGTTTGTGGAGATTGTCTTCTTTGTTGTTCATCAAGGAAGTTTTGTCGGCTGTGCTGAGTACTGTGGGGGTGGTTGATTGTAAGAACTGCTTCCGATGTAATACTGTCCTGGTTGTTGCGGGTACTGACCGGGAAATGTGAAAGAAATACCTTGCTGCTGCTGTTGTTGTGGTACCTGAACAGGATTTTTCTTTTTACATATACATACCATGTTTATAATAATACCAATCAACACAGCCGTTTTCCCATACCCCCTTTACGAGATGTAAGGGTCATACAACTTAGATTGTCAAATCGGGAGGAGAAACTTGGATTCGTCCATGGAATGTGTATCGGTGGATTCGACCTACCTAATAGATAACTTCACCATAGATGCCAGTATAACTAATACCTGTCCAATGTTCTGGCACACGTCAGTATGCTCGCAGAATGCCGTTACACTGAACGAGAAGCTTGCACTCAAAAATAGCGTTACAAGACTAGATCTGCGCGCCACGGTCAAGTTAAAACCGTTAGGCACAAACTGAAAGACTGAGTGAAAGGAGGCGATGCCACCGAACGCATTTCTGACCGACAGGCATCCATAGTGTCATCCATTATTATTTTTAAGCTTTATTCTTGAAAATGATCTTTGTATAGTTGAAAACCTCGAATGTTAATAAAACAAAATAATAAAGTTAAGCCGCGCCGACGGTACCATACCTTTCATTTCAAAGAAATTTTCATTTCATTTCATTTCAAAGAAATTTTCACAGCAAACTTATTCCACTATGAGGAATCAGAAAATGATTCATGTTTGTTTGGCTTGTATTTTGAAAAATAATTATAGCAACTATTGTTTCATTCTTCCTCTTCCTCTCGCAGTGCGTTTCCCAACTCATTGAAACTTCTATGTTGCGTATGTTACGCAGTATCTACGCAATCCTCGAGTGCGCGTATATATGGCGAAGATTTTCCTCTCATTTGTATTCGTAGCGTTTAGTGTATTGTACTTTATTGTATTGTTCTAGCTTTCGTGCGAATAAATATTCGGAGTAATAAATAGACTCATCACACAAGTGCATCTTTGAAGAGCACTAATACACAATCTGCAAAGAAAGGAAACTTGTATATAGTGAGCAACCGATCCTTGAAACATCGCTCTTCAAAACCTTACCACTCAAATCAACGCTTTAGTAGTCAAAGAATTGGCAACAGAACTTATGTTGGGAGGTGACTGGATTAAGAAATATGCTGTAAATATAATGCCGTCAAAACGCCAAATTTCTCTATCTACGTATCATAAAAAATATTTTGTAAATTTCGCGGACGATCATCAGCTACCATTGAAACTCGACAAATATCATATTTTACCTAAACATAAATGCCTAGCCAAATTAGTCGCGCCAACAACAATTGATACATCTCATTATTTTCATGCAAAAAATGCAAAAAAAAAAGCATCTGCTTTACGGCCTAAGCTTACGCGCCAAGTCGTACATTGAGGTGAGAAAACCACGCACTACCGCACAGTTTCTGCAGGTATTCATCGAATGCGATAAAGTACTGGCTGAGGAGGACGCACGACAAGCTCCAACAGTAGTACAGAATGTCCGATATCTCACCCAAGGCAAGACGCGAGTATCCATGCCTGTTCGCCGATGAAAAAGAACGTAGACCGACCCAATTCCTACTATCAACGCTACAATAATCTGTATTATGCATCACGCACAATGAACAATTCACTGACATCGCCTGTTGATCTTGCGATAGCCGTGATCACTACAGAAAAAACTGTCCAAAAAACTACTCGCGGGCGCGTGTGAAGGTAAAAACGCCCGTCCGAACCAATACCAGCCATCATCGCTTATCATGGTCAACACTATTGTCAATGATTGTCAAACACAAACCACGGTAGATACGAGTGCCACTCATTGTCTAATTACGTCAACCTTACTACACACTATTCGCCACCAGCCCATAAAAGAAACATCAAAAACAATTCGTCTTGGAGATGGAGAAACTAGGATTGCTGTATTAGGAAAAGTTCGATTGTGTGTTCAAATAAAACAATTGAAAACGTATGTCGATGCTTTGATTGTCAATTCATTAGGAGTCGATATGATTCTGGGCATGGACTGGTGCCAAGCATATAAGGTAGAAATCTCGACAAGAATTGAAACTCTATCATCATCGACTGGGAAAAAGAGTGACACCTTTTCTGACCGAGGCACCGATCTATGTTCGACTTACACATAACATACACTTGCTCCCGTATCAAGAACGAATGATACCTGTTCACGTGGCCCTCTCTAATGCAAACAACGTGTGTTTCGATCCAAACGCTGATATCCGCTCGAAATTAAATGTGATGGTATACGAATCTGTGCTCAGTGTTAAGAAATATAGCTCTCATATGAGCGTGCTCAATTTGCCAGGAGATCCACGTACAATATTAGCCGGTACAATATTGGCTTTGTGACATTTTTACCGACTCGATCGCCCACCTTGACTTTGGGGGGAAAGCTAAGGGAGGACTTCCATCTAGAACGAAAACAGATCGACACACTCAATTGAGTACCTGAACATACGGCTCAATGCTCACCAATGCAACTCGGAAACGAACGACAGCCTGTCGAAAGCACTATTCGTAAACTGGTCGGACACATCACTGATCAACAACAATAGCAAAACTTCTACAACGTTCTGATGAACAATCGACAGACGTTTGATACATCGAAGACAACGCAGGCAAAAACAGTTATTCATCATGCCATAATTACGGGAAATCACCCGCCTACCAGTGTCCGTCCATATTACAAGACACCACAACAGCGAAAAGACACACACCAAGTTGCCAATAAGTTGTTAGAAGATGGCGTCATTCGCCCGTCTCACTCTCCATGGGCTTCACCCGTCATCCTGAAGAAGAAACCTGACGGATCATACAGGCTTTTTTCTTGTTTTCTCTTCGAAGTCTGTATTTGTAAAAGATTTGATTCGGTTTAGTCCTTCGCTATCATCTTGTAAGTCGATAGTCTTAGCGCAAATCAAAATTCACGTGCACGACCGTTACTTTCATTTTTCTACTGTAACGGCGTCTTTTATTCAAATGACAGCTATGACAATATTTGAGTAAGAAAAAAAAGTAATTGTAGGTTTTCGGCCTGTAAATACCCACAGGCACCTTTCGCAAAATTATTCGCATCAACAACGCATTCTGATGAAGCCTATCAAAAACACAGACCAGACAAACATGAATACAATAATAATAACTTTCGATCCATTAATTGAGAAACAAAAGTTCAATGAACATACGCGTCCTTCATTCTTCTTATTATTGTATTCATGTTTGCTTGGCCTCTGTTTGAAAAACATTTATACTTAGAATTGTTGACTGTTTTCTAATCATAGAAACCTCTTTGTTGTTAGGCTTCATCAGAATGCATTGTTGATGAGAAGAATTAAGCGGAAGATGGCTGTAGACATTACGAGCCGAAATTGCATTTTTCTTAATCAAAACTGAACCAGAATTCAACATAGGTTAGCTTCAACGAAGGATTCTATTTATTTGCGCGACCCGCATATATTTCCATCAAAATGCTGTGGTGCACGAGCTAAAGCTTTGTGAAAAACAAACATCCGAAGCCTAAAGCACCTACTCTACATTTCGAATAGTGCGGACTTAGAAACAAATCTACCAAAAACAGCTAAAGATAAATTTCACGTTTACGGAAAAATCTACGGACGCATTTTTCCTAAAAGTTATTCCCAATAACAATGTATTCAGCTGAAGTCTAACAAATAGCTTTCCGTGATTAAAAGATACATAAGAGTTATAAACAAAACATTCTTCAACCGAAGACCAAACACACGACATCCTTCACATGCATGAAAAGCAGTCTTCCTTTCGATCAATTAACTGAAGTGCAATGAATGAATTTCATTCTTATTTTTATTGTATTCATGTTGGTCTGGTCTCTGTTTGAAGAGCATTTATACTTAGAATTTTTGACTGTTTTCTAATCATAGAAACCTCTTTGTTGTTAGGCTTCATCAGAATGTATTGTTGATGAAAACTTTGTGTTACACATATTCTTCTCACTTACTTCATGAGTTACATTTTTGTTTTCACAGTCTACGAACACTATTATTATTTTTAAGTTTTATTCTTGAACATGAACTTTGTTTAGTTGAAAACGTCGAATATTAATAAAACTAAATAATGAAGTGAAGTAGCGCTGATGTTATCGTACCTTTCATTTCAAAGAAAATGGAAGCGTTTTTG